TGGATAATAAGGCATGCAACCATTTTAAAAATAAATCAAGTGTAACTCACCATACTGGTCATAACTCCAAACCGTTCCTCGAAGTTTCTCATGTTCTCCCAAAAACGCATCAAACTTGTTGCACTTCACCAAATCATCCTCATCTTTCACCTCTCTTATACGAGTTTCCTTTCCCGAGAATTTGTCATCTATATGCTTGAAGACCTCCCCATATATATATATATAAATATATATATATATATATAAAGTCATTGACGGTTTCACGGAATATGAAACGATAAGCCATAATAAATGGTCGTAGGTTTCATGACCATTGAATTTCCCGTCATTAAATTGCATTCAATTTATTTATTTATTTATTATTATTATTATTATTTTTTTTTGGGTTATTACAAACTTTCCCCTTAACAAAATTCCGTCCTCGAAATTTGTCCTATACGAATAAATGAGGGCATCTCAATCTCGTCCCCTTATCAAGTTTCCAAGTAGCCTCTGAACCATTATGACGTCTTCATTGAACATTCATGAAAGAAATCTCTTTGGTTCTCAATTTTTTTTTCTTTTCACATCCTTAAGAGTTACGACTTACTTTTTATCTACTGAACACTTCTTTACATTAGATACATCATGTCATAAATTTCACCATACCAACTGTTTTATTGTCTGAAGTTCTAAACATCCGTTCATCCTTGAGAATAACTCATATTCGCATCCCAATAATCTTCTATCATTTGTTAACTTGAGCAATATTTTCTAATAAACGATGGAGTACCTTTGATCCATCCGCCCGTCTCTTTTCTTTTCGATGTTAGTTCGACAAACCGGCTGACATTTATCACATAACTCTTCGGGTTGCTCTACTCGAGTACTCCTTTGATAATCATTAATCATAAGTGAACATATTCGAACTCTAAGTGGTTATTCCAACCGTCACTAAAGATTACCCCACATAGATACCACCATACTTTTCTTATCTACAAAATAAGGCAACATGCATGCAAATAATAATCACATTTGTGATATCTTCTTTCACAATTCAATTATACATCATACATTTTCATATTCATGCCCTTATACATACATGTAATTATTTCTTGTCCTTGAGATATCTTCAATTATCAAGTATAGGCTATACAATCCATTATATAGATAATGCTTTCATATTTCGAGCTCCACTAACACTGTTACTAATTTTAAATCATATATTCTCAATTACCATGACATAAATACTATATCATTTCCCCTTTGCACCGATATACTTCACAGTTCCAACATTGTAACATCATTATCTACAAAAAAAGAAAAAAAAGAATCCTCTGTCTAATCTAGCAGTGACACTCTTGGCATACTTCTCGGTCTTCCTTCCAATCTCTGGCATACTTCATTTACTTTATAGCTCGATCAAGTTTATGATAGTATATGGTTACATCACATACTTCATGATAATTGATGTACATTTAGTCTTCCTGACTACATAAACATCATTCATCTTACTCTAATTTTAGCACTTTCAGATCATGCTAACATTAGCAATCATAGATACCAAAATGATGATGTTCACCAAGTAACTTATTATATTTCTATATTGCTTTTTTTAACCTTTTATCAATTCAACTATCTTTACTTTTAGTTTTACCTTTAATATTCATTCCTTCATCCTTTTATGGCATCTGAAACATGTCAATCATTCTTTGAAGGGTTTTGATTTAACATAGTATCCTCTTACCGATTCCAGTGCCCATGTTGTCTTTTACTACACTAGAGATTTCTTACTGGTAGGGCTATATTTTTTACACAGATAATGCATTAATCTGCACATTATCGTTTCCATCCTTAAGTTTTTTCTTGATTCCTATATCATTTCACATTTGAGTGATGTGCTTAATGATAACAATAWTGTGTTTGCTGTTGACTTTGACCAAGTTATTAGTCGACTACCAACCCTTGAGTTATTTCAGCATTTCACCATATTCATATTTGAATTCATCATTATGCAACCATAGAAATTAACTTAACCTATTTTTCATTTATATCATCATTGTATTCATCCTAGAATCTAGTCACAACTTTCTCCTTTGACGACAAATACGTATCATCAGTCGACTTCGCTACTTGTTTTACCAACTAATAAGTTAACTCACCTTTCATAATACACATGCCACCATTTGGTTCTAATGACCCAATTCATACCCTTATAGTCATTCTTACACAAGGAATTTTGTAATAACCTTTTATATGCTCGTTGATATTTAGGATATTATGCCTTATTCATAACATTGATTATTCTAAATGCACATCTTTACTTATTTCATCATCTTCAACTTATATTGCAACTCACTCATCTTTGACTTAATGCAAAATATCTCATGCAATTTTACACTATTCTAGTTTTGATGTCTTTCTAGCTATAACTATGGGAACAATTCCAATGCCCCTTTTTTATAGCTTAAAGGTTATACGCTTGGATAAACCTTATTATTTAACCATAAAATATTTCTCACTTACTAAACCTAATAATTTRTTACAAATAACACTTTCTTTTACCACCTTCTTGCTTTTATATCTTGCTCAAGGCAACACATGCTTACTAACAATTTCATAAAATCAAATAAGTTAATATCATCTTCCAACCACTTGTGAGATGCCTATGAAGGATAATAGAACCCCAATGTCTTACTGGATTAATCAATCATAGTCTTCTACATTCTAAGACCATTTCACAATCTAATTTGGTGTCTTTTACTTTAAGAAATTAATCATGTGAGAACCCTTAGATCTTCTCATAGGGTTTACATATGATCTCAACATTCCAACTCGATTAAAAAATCCTTCAACTAGTCGTGCATCCAATCAAGATCATCAGTTCTTACCATGAATCTGTTGCCATCATTGATTACACAAATAACCTCGTTGCTAATGTCATATCTGACTATTTGATCTTTCCGCCAATTGATATAAGAATGATCCCTCAACTCAAATATGGGATGAATCAACTCACTATATCATCAATACTTTGAGTTCCTACTATTCTCAAAACTAAACATAGACTCTCCCCGCTAAAGCAAATTAGTGGAGTTTGTCACCAAAACTTTATCTACCAACACCACTCTACATCTATTTTATCTCATCTTACCATGTGTTTTGCATAAACACATCTCTATCAATGTCATTATTTTCCCAAATATTTGTCATCTATATGTTTGAAGACCTCCCCATATATATATATATATATATATATATATATATTAAGTCATCGGCGGTTCCACGGAATATGAAACGATAAGCCATAATAAATGGTCGTAGGTTTCATGACCATTGAATTTCCCGTCATTAAATTGCATTTAATTAATTAATTAATTTATTTATTATTATTATTATTATTATTATTATTATTATTATTATTATTTTTGGGTTATTACACCTATCTATCTCGTATTCAATTCTAGACGTTTACAACAATTATAACTATAACATTTATCATAAGTGATTTCTTACCCTCACAATTTATCGAAATTAAAAAACATAGTGAGAAAAAAATATGGGTGCCGAAAGATGTTATGACGAATAGTTGGATAAAGTAGTGTAATTCTTCCATGTCTCGTTTTTAACCTGTACTCTCTTTTGCTAACGTCTTGTTAGTTTTTATGCTATTTCGTCTTTGTTGCCGGTAAAAAAAAAGGGTTAAATGCATAAAACAGCAACCTACTTTCATAAAATTTCTTATTATAGCATTCTACTTTTGTTTTTCTTTATTACAACAATGTACTTTCAAATTATTTTTTGTTAAGGCATCGTACTTTAAAAAATCTACTCATAATAGCAATGGATAACCTGTTACCTTTTAAACCGGTTAACCCTTTGACTTTTTTGCTTATGTGGCTTTAATGAGGTGATGTGGATGCCATATCATTTTGATGACTTAACTAAAATTAAAATAAGAATCTATTTCAAATTATTATTAGTGATTTTCATTTTTCATTGCTATGATCTAAAAAAAACATTAATTTTTTTTTACTTTTTCTTATTAAGTTGCATTCAAATTAAATATTCTTAGAGTAAAATATTTATTAAATAAATATGAAACATTGTTTTCGAGATATATTTTGTTTATAAAAAAAATAACTTTTCATATTTTATGTTGTTCAAATAAATACATATCTTTTAAAGTTCTCTTTAAAATATTAACGAAATAAATAGTTATCTACAATTTTTTAATATTGTTATATTAATAAACAATTCAAAAAAGGCTAATTAGTTTAATATATCTATACGTCAAGTAAAATGTTTTTGAACAAATATAATATATATTCTTTAAAAGATAATATTTTTTGGTAAAAAAAGGAACAATTTTTTTTTCTTTTTTTCAAAAAACACATATTTTTTTAAAAATGTTAGCAAGATAAGTTATGTTTTACTAGTTTTATTGATATTGGTATATTAATGAATAATTTAGAATTTTTTTAATTCATTTAATACATTTATTAAATTACATGTAAAAATATCTAAATATTAAAATTAAAAATACAATGTTTAATAAGAACTAGTAGATACTATAATAAAATAATTTTGAAAGTAGAATGATGTAGTAAGAAAGTCATATCACTATAGTACATGTTAACAGTCTACATGGACAATGAGTTGACATGAAAACCTAGTATAATGGGTAAATTTAAATCAAAAGGTTAATTAATGCTATAATGGGTAAATTTTTCAAAGTACAATGTCTTAATAAAAAATAATTTGAAAGTACATTATTGTAATAAAAAAAATTAAAAATACAATGTTATAATAAAGAAATTTATGAAAATAGATTTTGCCAAAAAAAATAAAAAAAAAAATTGAAGAGTGATGTGACATAGATGTAGTGCGAGTCAACTAAAGTTGACCCTGTGCTCTTCACGTGCTCATATCATCGACTTATCATGTGACTTTCTCCAGTCCCCTCCCTTCCTCTTCCCCCCAATCATAACCACTCTCTCTCCACCTGTATTTGCTCCCCCACTAACTAAGCTTCATCACACTCTCCATCAACCCCAAACCCCCCTTTTACATCTCTAGGGTTTTCATTCAAAGATCACACTCTCCTTTCCAGGAAATTTATGTGAATAAATCATCACTATGGGCTGTTTTCAGTCCAAAACTGCCAATGTTCAATCTCCTGACCAGGTTCCTGAATCCAAACCAGATCCAGGTATGTGTGTTTTTCTAATGCAAATTCTTTCTACCAAGTTTAAGGATGCCAACATTATTCTTTATCATATGTAGCCTTTCAAGTTGGACAGGTTAGTGTAGTAGCCCCTTTTTTTTCTGGCATTGGAGTACGGTTGTGTTTCAATTTTCGTTATTAATTGCTGATCGGTTGGAGGGTAATGTCATGAATTGATGAAAAATAAGGTGATGGAGAGCAAGGATTAAGTCAACAGGATCAAGAGCAAGCAGTCCCTGCATTCAAGGAGTTTGAACTTGCGGAGCTTCGAGCTGCTACAAATGGGTTCAGCAGTGAGCTTATAGTATCGGAAAGTGGAGAGAAAGCTCCCAATGTGGTTTATAGAGGAAAACTTCGTAGCAATAAAGTCGTTGCCATTAAGCGTTTCTCCAAGCTCTCTTGGCCCGACCCACAACAATTTGTGGTATGTATCAGTATTACCCCCCACTCTCTCACACACATGCCTGCATCCCAATTTTTGGGGATTTTCAGTTTTTTTGTTTGTTTTTTCTTCTTAAATTTGTTGCCAGAATGGTGGTTGACGTGCATTTAGCGCTTGTCGGTACCTGTTATTATGAATTTACCAAGGAAAAGTTGTTTTAGAGAAGTGAGATGATGATTTCTTTTCTGTTGCTTTTGATTGAAAGAAAAGTGAAATAAATCGAGTTAGATTTACTTAGAAAGTTGCTACTTTAAGAAATTTGGTAGCTTTTTGTAAGGACAAGTAGACAACCCTGTCTAGTAAGTCTACTACATTTAAAAGTAATTATTTTGTTCCCTAAAAACTGCATTTTTATTGTGACGGAAAAGTGGGATTTGTCTAAAGAAATGTAGTTTTAACAAACTTTAATCCGGAAGTTACAATGATCGTTTTTAGCAAAGACGGTTCTTGTTGTGTTTTGGATCTTTTTTACGGAAAGTGCTTTAAAGACTTGCCACAGAAGTTGCTATTTTGAGGTACGTAGAGCTTTTGAAAGATTATTTTGACTGGCCCTCTCCCCTCTAAAATGAATAATAAATGTTTTCTGCGAAATCACGTTGAGGCTTGTTGAAAACATATTGAAAAATGGAAATTAATTTATGCTTCCTTTTCCAAAGAAACTGCTAATTTTACTCCTTGCTTTCATGCTATCTTTTCAAATTGATTTTTTCTACCCTTTGTAGAGTTAAAACATACTCAAGAATTTTATAGAGCGACTTTGTTCATGAAGCTTGAACTCACATGTTATATTTGTTCACCTGTCAAGTTCAGATTCAGAAGAACCTTCTGTTTTGTTGCTCAATGTGTCATTTGACATCGTGGTAACTGTAATTTAATTTCCAATGCCAGTGTTGATATTTTCCTTGAGAGTTTAGACCAAGTGAAGCAAAATGGGTATGTAAAAAGATCAATAAAAAAAGAAAAGAAATTGTTAAGCTTAGGGTAACAATGGTATATCTGGAATTAAAAGAAGGGGTTTCTAAACGAAAAGAATAGATTACTCATTTTCTACGGGAAAACTGACCTTCGAGCAAGTATACAGATTTGTAGTGCAAATTCACAAACAGCTATAATTTGTGAAAGAAGCAAAACTCTTATTGAAGTCCTAATAAAAGCAGGATTCGCTTTTGAAGGGTGTTCAAATGGAGCATATATCGGCATTAAAGATTCTTCATTTCAGTTTACTGTTTGCTTAGTTGGTTTACTTTGTGGCATAATTTGAATTCGTGATCTATGTTAGTAGGCTATGCAATCTATTCTTATGTTACTCTTAATGGACATTCTTTATAGGCAGAAGCTGCTGGAGTTGGCAAGGTTAGGCATAACAGATTGGTGAATCTAATTGGCTGTTGTGCGGAGGGAGATGAGCGTCTTTTAGTGGCCGAATACATGCCCAATGATACACTCTCAAAGCATCTGTTTCACTGTATGAACTCCAAGTCATCCTTTATTTCTGATGCTAATAAACTTTTATAATATACTCATTTGCCCCTGCAGACTATTACACTTACATCATTCAGATGTAAATTGTTATAACCATGTTGTGTCATTTTAACACAATGATTCTACTCTGTTTCTGGTATAAAAAACAGCATGACATGCTTGACCATATGAATAGCTCATGATGAGGATTGGCATATCAAGTGAATAGCTGATGGTTTCAATGTTGTTTACAACAAATAGAGCAAAACTAGGCTGTTTTGCCAACTGAACTAGTTGATCTAATTTTGTTCCACGAGTTCACAAAGTAACATTTAAAGTCAAATGTGATGATTGCTCCACAATTCACACCCTACCCTTGACTAGAAAAACATGCACCTCTATCTAGGTAATAGTTCTTCCTGCCAATGGGTGCGTCATGCCATCTCAGTTAAGCTTTATCAACTGGACACAATGACAATTCCACCAACTCTAAATCCTGTCACTGTTACAAAATCCCTAAGCTGCTATATTATCATGCACTATGCTTTATAGTCACATGTATGTGTCATCTCTTCTGTCATCCATTAGTATCAAGTAATACAAAAGATGACAAATCTCTTAGTTATCTGATTCTACCATCCCAAAGATGTTATAATTGAATTGTGATCTTGGATGCACATCACTTACCAGTAAGCAACCGCTACTTGTTTTATGCTTTTGCTTGACAAAAATGTTACCTGGGCTAGAGAAAGCTCAAACTTTATTTATAGTCTGCATTTTAAAGCTCATCAATTTTGATCTTATATGAGAGGGAACATTCTTCAGTAAGTTCAAATTCATTGATGGAGTCCTGGTGTAATCAAACCATCTAGAGTTCGTGTTCAAACTAAGCTAATGTCTAGAGAAGCATGAAATGTGTATGTAATATGGATGCTTAGAGGTTTTTGGACCAACTGTCCTGGAGTAATAAAAAAATATGTGTAATTATGGAAGCATGAAACACATTTATGGTGTTTGGTAAGTCTTGGTTGTTGCAGTAGGACATATCTCATGTTGTTTAACGAGTTCCATTCCTAATCAATCTTTGTTTTTTCTTTTAGATAGTTCTGGATGATTTAGGCTCTTTTGGGTGTTATGTGGACATGTTATTCTGTTGTTTAATAAATTTTGCCTGTTGGTATAGGGGATAAACAGCCTTTGCCATGGGAAATGCGTGTTAGAGTTGCATATCATATTGCACAAGCACTTGAGCATTGCAATGCAGAAAATCGGAAAATCTATCATGATCTGAATGCCTATAGGGTCCTGTTTGATGAGGTACATGTTTTATCACAACTCTATATATCAGGTAAAAAATACTTGAAGTTATATGGTTAACACATCAACTGATAGGTAGCATGCTTTAGCAATGTTAGCTATATAGGATACTAGTATTCATATTATGTATATTTATAATGTAAGTTTTCTTCTCATTAATGAGTATCTGTTTGTTCCTTTATATTTTGCATGGTATTAACACCACAAGTTTTGTTATGGAAACCTTAGTCTAACCTTACTCTGCAAAACTCATAAGAGAAAGATGTGATCCCAGATTCAAGTCTAATTCATTTAAATTAATAACAATGATCAAGAGCAAGATGAAGAATCAAATCAGTCGGCAAGCTTCCATTTCATAAACTGTGAAGAACAATGTTCTTGATACAAAGTGTACTTTCAATGTCAAAGATATGTATGAATCTATCTATGATTGTCTAACCCAACTAACAAAACTAACAGTTGTTATTTACAGCAACTCCCAAAATAGAAAGTCAACTAAACAAGCTATAAAAGGAAACTATAAGAACTAAACAATACAAAGCATTGAAAACAATTTAAGTACCGGGGCTTGAATACAACATTTTGTTCCAACAATCTCCCCCCTCGGATTCAAGTCCAAAACAGCAACATCTTCATAAATCTTCAGAAACTTTGATTCTTCAAGATATGATCTTTAAAGCTTTTAGCAACCTTTTTCTTTAACAATCTCCCCCAAATAACTTCCCTTTTTATCAACAAACTTCAGATATCTCTCCCTTTGATCATCTTCAGAAAAACTTTATCTCGCCCTGTCGCCCATAAACTGATAAGGATTTAACATTTGAAAGATCTCCCCCTTTAAGAAACAATAAACTTCTTTAAAGAAATGATCTTCTCATTCACTCCCCCTTGAGCTTTGCAATATAATAATCTTCAGCAATTATCATCACTTATTGATCAACTCCTTTCAAACTTTAACACCTTCCCCCATCTTCAGAAATTGACGCAAAATCTTCATTCATTTTCAATATAAACTCCCCCTTATGATGAAAATGAGGAGCATTTACGTCATACACCGAAATGAATGATCCTTGTAAAAATGCCGTCAATTCATGAAAATTAAGCAAATCTATTAAATTCGCTCATATAATCTTTTTAGATTATGAAGGTGAGAGAAAGAACCATATTCAACTTATGAACCTGTTTTCAATCTTTTTTTAAAAGATTGGCCTGTGAATATAATAGATATATTCAGTATAACGAATGTAGTTCATATATGAGACTTTTTGATGTTCATCTCACTAGGACTTCCATTCAAWCATTGATAGCTTTGAAAAGCGTATCTATGAATGTTATGATAGAATAACAAATATTCTATAAATTTGTGCAGTGAAAAACCGATAAATAATGAGTTGCGTGTCCCAAGTGTTATTGAAACACTTATCTTTTGAGAGATAAATGAGTAGCTGCTGGGGTTATTAACAAGAGTTGGTCTGGGCTTGTCTTTTTCAATATTAGTCTCCAAATAGTTGAGAACTAATAGATTGTGTGGTTGCCCGGATTATAGTTGATAGAACAGGATTCTGATATTCTTTTAATCCGGACACAACTCACATCAATTCTTCTAACTCGCAGCAACTACCCCTCTCATTTACATTTTAAGCTCTGCACACAAACCCATTTTGCATCTAAGCTCACTCAGATATGGATGTCCTCTTGGGTAGGGCTGTCGGTTCTGATAGTCCATAGAGGTATTTCTGTTAAGCTCTCAGTCCCTCCTGAAAATTTACATTGTAAGCTAATTTGATCACAAATGATTGATCAAAAATAATATTGCAATTTTGTACATTTGATCAGATAAAATTGTTTATAAAAAAATGTAGTAATTAATCACATGATCAAATAAACAGGAGTGATATACAAACCAAATTATTCTATAAAATATGGGAGAAATGAACGAAGATCTGTAAGAACAAGTTAATAGATTTACACAATCAAAGAATGAAGAAATGTATATCAATCAAATAATTATTATCTAATAAGCTCAAAAAAACAAAGTTGAGTATAAACGAGTGTATTATCACCAAAATGATCTTTCATTTTAGGGACGTGATAATAACAATTCGAAGATTAGCTGAAACATGTATTGGAAATATGTATGAAGAGAAAATACACAAGTATAGTCTCAATGAAATACTTGTTCAAAAATGATAAAAAAATAACAATAAAAAATCATTTAAAATCGCACTTCTTATAATTGAAAAACGTTTAAGTTCAAAGAAGTGGTTTGAACATTTAGAAAAACATTTTATATACAAAGCAGTTGTTCTTCTTCAATGTATGTTAAAAAAAGTTTAGAATGATATACCAGACAAATATGATAAATCAGATGTTTATGATTGTGATGAACTTTCCCTAGATGTTAGCTCAAAAGCACTTAAACAAGTGATTAAAATTTTGCAATTAAGATCATAAGATTAAATACAGAAAAAAACATTAAGCTCAAGCTCCCCCTAGAAAGATGGATCAAATTTTATACAGACAAATCGAGTATTCCAAGTTTGCTTACTAAAAATGAAAACCTTTTCTCATCGAGAGGTTTTGTGAAAATGTCAGCAAGTTGGAAATCATTCTGTACAAAATGCATCTCAATTAAAGCCTTTTTCTACATTATCCTTGATGAAATGATACCTGATATCGATGTGTTTGGTCTTTGAGTGTTGAATTGGATTAGCAATTATTGCAATCACGTTTTTTGAATCACAGTTGATAGGAACTTTGTTAAATGTGTACCCGTAGTCTAGGAGTTGTGTCTTCATCCACAAAACTTGTGAACTACAATTAGCTGCTGCAACATATTCTGCTTCAGCAGTAGAAGTTGAAACACAGTTTTGCTTCTTTGAAGTCCAACTGACTAGTTTGTCTCCTAAGAACTGGCATGAACTATAAGTGCTCTTTCTATCCGGTTTGCAACCTTCATGGTTAGAATCAGTAAATGCAGTTAGCTCAAAACCAGATTCTTTAGGATACCAAAGGCCAAATTTTGTGTGCCTTTGAGATATCCAAGAATTCTCTTTACTGCAGCAAGATGTGACTCCTTAGGATTAGCCTGATATCTTGCACAAAAGCATTTATTATATCTGGTCTACTTGAAGTTAAGTACAGTAAAGATCCAATCATGGCATGGTAATTTTGTTGATCAACAGATTTTCTAGATAAATCTGCATCCAATAAAGTACCAGTGGCCCATGGGAGTCTTTATTGAAGAACAATCAGACATATTAAATCTTTTCAAAATATCTTTAATATATTTGGATTGATTAATGAATATGTCATCGGGGAGTTGTTTTACTTGAAGACCAAGAAAGAAATTTAATTCTCCCATCATACTCATTTGAAACTTAGATTTCATGATGTCTGAAAAGTTCTTGCAAAACTTTGGATTCGTAGAACCAAAAATAATATCGTCAACATATATTTGAATCAAGATCATATGCTTACCTTGCTTTTTAAGAAATAACGTAGTATCTATCGTACCTTTCTTGAAACTAGACTTCAACAGGAATCGAGTTAGTGTATCATACCATGCCCTAGGAGCTTGTTTCAAACCATATAATGCTTTATCTAAAACATAGACATGATCCGGTTTGTGTGGATTAACAAAGCCTTCAGGCCGACTCACATAGACTTCTTCATGAAGAATACCGTTTAGAAATGCCGATTTGATATCCATTTGGTATACTTTGAAGTTTTTGTGAGCAGCGTACGCCAGAACTATTCTGATAGCTTCAATGCGTGCAACTGGAGCAAAGGTCTCGTCATAATCAATACCTTCTTGTTCACTGTAATCTTTAGCAACCAATCTGGCTTTGTTTCTCACTACAATTCCCATCTCGTCTTTTTTGTTTCGTAAGACCCATTTTGTACCAATTATTGATTTATCTTTTGGCCTCGGTACGAGTGTCCGAACTTGGTTTCTTTCGAATTTTCGAAGTTCATCTTGCATGGCATTGATCCAATCTGGATCTTGCAACGCTTTAGATGGCTTCTTTGGCTCTATTGTGTAAGAAAGTTCACGAAAAAACACTCGTTAGGGGTACCAGATCGTGTTTTCACTCTATCTTTTACATTACCGATTATTTGATTTGGGGGATGATCTTTTGTCCACTTGTGAGTACAAGGGAGGGGTTGAACATCAGTTAGATTGTTCTGATCATCATATTCATCAGTTACAACTTGAATTTCACTTTCAACTTCAGCTTGAACTTATGCTTTAGCTTGAACCTCAGAATGTTCAGCTTCATTGGTAGGTTGAGAAGACTCAGATTGATCAATATCGGATTGAATAATCTCTGGTTGAGTCTGTGCCTCAGCTTGAACATTTTTTGATTCAGTAGCTTCAGTAGATTCAAGTTGGACAACATTTGATGTTGAACAACCAGCTTCAGATGGTCCAGAAAGTTGAGTAACTTGCGGAATCGAGACCACTGGTTCATTCAATTTGGGTAGATCAGATATCTCGTACTCTGCAAGAATATCCCAAGTGAGATCAAATGCATCTTTGAATAAAGAATCTAAATTTGATTTTATAGTAGAAGAATCAATTTATCCTGTTTGGTATAGGTTCTACACTGCTTTGTGTAGAAGCTAACAGTTGTAGCTTGAGCCCTGAACTGATTTGTTCAGAAGTCGAAGATTCATCGAATCTGACATTGATGCTTTCTATGACAATCTTGGATGACTTGATGTAGACTCGGAGGGCTTTAGACTTTAATGAATAACCAATAAAGTAGCCTTCTTTCGCCTTCTTATCGAATTTGCGATTGTCTCGATCGTTAAGCACAAAACATCTGCATCCAAAAACATGGAAAATTTTTATATCAGGCTTTCTTTTATTTATTAACTCATAAGCAGTTTTATTAAAGCACTTGACGATGATCGTTCGTTTCAGCCCACAAATACAGAGGTAGACCAGAGTAAGCCAACATAGTCCGAGCAGCCTCGACTAATGTTCTGTTTCT